AGCGCACGGAGCGAAGCGACAGCGAGCACCCACACACCCGGTTTAACCGCGCCTGGTTTGGCAAAGAAGGGCGAGATTTCAGGAAGTGCGGTAAAGCCGACGGACAAATGGAGCACAAAGAACGCCACGTAAGCCCCCCTCCCCTTCCCGTTCCCCAGGGATAGCGTTATCAGCATTAGCAATAACAATAACTGGCGCTCTGCCCCAGGTCCACAGATGTGGTGAAATGGAGCACGGCCCACTCGCGAAGGTCGGTCGGTCGGTGGTCAGCTCAGGGAAGAAGGCTGTGGGGTTGTTGTCGTACGTGCTGGTCCTCTGTGCAGCACGGAGGAAAACGATGCAAAACAGCGATTGTGATGCAATGCATCACGCCCGTCTGATGCCCTCGGATTGCCTTCGCTTGCCGGGCTGGGCCGGCTATTCTCTCGTGAGTAGATTCACTACGATACTGCAACAGCAAAGGAACTGTGGTACGTTCTCGGCCTCTCCAGGTTATGCGTCGAAAAAGGACACATAGGTGGGTAGAGGAGAGGAGAGGGAGGGGAGTGGACGAAAGGTACTAGTTTTATGAAAGTCAGGGTCTAAAGGTAAAACTGGAGAAAACCCTCCTCCGCAATCCCATCGCCCCCCACGCCCGGTCGGCGCCGCGTCAGAAGCCCCTCCCCTCCCCGGGAGTCGATGCTGAGTTCGCCTGTGAAAGGACAGCACTTCCTCCTCCCCCTCCTTGCCCCAAAGCTTTGTTGTTTATATTGACCATTTGAGCCCCGTAAACGTTGTGCTTGTCGCGAGCGCCGATCATTCTTCGGCCCGCAGTTACTTCTCGGCCAACACGCCTGCGCCCTGCGTTTTGTGCGGTTCAGTTCGGTTTTCTTTGGTTTAACTTCTCTGCGCTTAATTCTTGGCTCGATGTTTTAAAACGTTTCCAAGTTAAACAAAGCAGCCAAATGACTGTTAAGTTATTGCGAAATTGAGCGAAATTTCACCCGGCTCAGATCGGATGCGATCTCCCTCAGCCCTTCGCCTCCTCCTCCTCCTTCCCGTTCCCCTTTGGCCCTCTCCCCAAGTGTTTCTCATCCCTTCACTCAGCCCTTTGTTCCTCGTATTTTTCAGCAGCTAACGCTTCTGCAGTGACGTGGAAGCGGGTGTTCAGGAAGTTCCGGCGGTGTGCGATGTACGGGCAAATAATCATTGGGGCGCCGGGCGCCGGTAAGACGACCTACTGCGATGGTATGTGTCAGATTGTGTCGCAGCTCGGCCGTGCGGTGGTGTGCGTGAATCTGGATCCGGCCAACGACAATCTGCCCTATGCATGCGATGTGGACATCCGGGAACTGGTGAGCGTGGAGGACATCATCGCTCGGCTGAATCTCGGCCCCAACGGTGCACTGAGGTGAGCCGCTTTTTATTATTTCTCTTTGTGGAAGCAAATAGAATGCTGATGATGCCTGCTAGCACGAAAGAAGGACCCATCAAGAGTGTTGCCAGCGGTGATTGCTGTTGGTATCTCGAAGTGCTGCTTCCCAAGTACCTGTGTTTCACACTAAGAGATTGGTTTTATTTTGACTGGGTTTTTTTCGTATTTCATGAAATGAATGGTTTTTTGGTTGGGGTTGGTGATATGGAGAAAGAGAAGCGTACCTGCTGTAGCATTGAGGCCAAACGGCCTAGCAGCGTAGGTGCTGTAAAACGGACTCAGCAGGCAGGGCCAATGATGCGCAGTGTAAATGGCATTGTCGAAGTGTTTCAGGTACTGTATGCAGACGCTGAAAAGCAACATGGAATGGTTGAGGCTGAAATTATCAGGGCGCCAGGGATATTTGCTCATTGATTTCCCGGGACAGCTCGAGCTATACAACAGCGACGATTGCATCACTTCCATTATTCGCACTGTAACACTTTGACCAATCATCTCTGCTGCTCTTTCATCGCAAAAGCGCTACAAGCCGGGAACTTGTTTAGTTTATGAGCTGGTTAGCTGATATGAATATGCGTTGGTGTGGGACCTTTTGCTACAGTTGTGAATAGGATGCTCGGCGCAGCGCTGATTATGCGAAGCACTATGGTTTTCAAGAGGGTGCCCTCGGACAGTTGGCAGAAAATTTTTCTTTCATTGCTGATATACTTGGAAAAAAAGAAAAGTCATGTTTTCACTGTGGAAAATCTGTTTGGTTTCATGTAAGATGGAGAAATGGGGCCATCGACTTGTGGCCATCCATCTCAGCGACAGCTTATATTGCACTGATGCGGGTAAATTCATCTCGGTGCTGTTGAGTGCGCTTTCTGTTATGATCAATCTTGAATGCGCCCAGATTAATGTGCTTTCGAAGAGAGATCTGTTGAGGGAGGACGATTTGCCGTTTAATTTCGACTTCTTCGAGCATTTACCCGACACGAAGCGTCTCACCGAACTCCTAGACGTAAGTTTTCTTGGGAATTTCTGAGTGAGGAGCAAAAATGGTCCCGAAAAAGAAAATTTCTAATTATTTCTGCTCTTTTCCAGGACCGTTTTAGAACTACTGTGTTGCAGAATGATGAGATACGATGTAGTGGCTGTTTAGGAGGGGCCCAGAGTTATGTTGATAATTTGATTAGCTGTTATGCCATACAGGCAATTTGTACCAGTGCGTTTCCTTTGCAAGCGAAAAACAGCCTGACGTTATAATTTATCATGCAGCACATTCTTCGCTGGTTTTATTTTGGCGAATCAGGCATTTGGTGCCCGGTAAATCCATAACTGGGGGGTTGTTAGGGAAGCTCGTTTTTTCGCATTTCGTTAAACTTTCACAAATGTTTCGAGAATGCCGTAGGGATTTGATCGGACCAGCAGTGCCATGTGGCTGTATTGTTAATGAGAGTAATGGCTGCATTCTTTGTCAACTGCATAGCATGCTTCATTCGCTCCTTCCCTACATCCTGTTCTCACATCGGCACAGAATTTTCGTTTTGGTGACATATCGAGTCATTTTGCAGGAATCGCCCGCAATCAGGCAGTACAAAGGGCTCAGTGAAATGCTTTGCTCGGTCATTGACGATTATGATCTGGTTAATTTCACCAGCTTAGATGTTACAAGCAAAAGCAGCATGCTTGATTTGCTAAAGTTGGCCGATGTAGCAAACGGATATGCCTTTCTCCAAGCTCCTGATCTAAGGGATATCATCCAAAAATGACACACATTCACTCTTTTGCTTCAGCCTGGTTTTTGCTGTATTTGTCTCAGTGCTTGTTAATGATCGCATTGTTCTTTTCCGTCTTTATTACTTGTTTTTTCTGTCCGCATAGTTAGTAAGCCTAACCGGGTTCCAATATGAGTTCAGGTTTGCAGCAATGTAAGGTTTAATTTTTCACATTTTTGATGAAATAAACTGCTTCGGAAAAGATTGAAACCAGCAGAGAAAATCATAGATTTACAATTTTTACAAGTTTTTGCGAAATTATTGGTATTTGTTCCTTCTTTGCTTTGCATCTTTTGTTGTGTTAGTGAGAAAATGAACAGCCTGGGCTTTTTTCCAAGAAGTGGCAAATATGCATTGAATAACTGGTGGGTATCAACACATCCCTTAGGACCGAGAAACCTGACATAGCTGCTGCTGCCATCGAGTGTTTATGCTTACTGTTTGTATGGTCTTGCCAGTTTTGGTTTATCCTAAATCCCTTGCACATTCACTACGATATTTTATAAATTCTTCGTTTGAATGTAGCTTTGATAACCATTCCCGTTTTGTGTTTTTTATAAACATTATTTAGTGGTGCGCACCAGAGTGAACCGCGCAGTGCGAGAAGCTGCTTAAAGAACGCAACCTCGTGCTTGATATACGCAAGTGTCTGTGTTCGCGTGTGTGTGTTGAATGCTGTAACTGTGCTGCACCTGTTAGAAAAATGGAAAAAAAAAGCCTCTCGGTGTTAGCAGATGCTCTCTGTGTTTCTGGTAAGGGCTCTGT